ACACACACACACACACACACACACACACACACACACACACACAACAACCCTGGCTGTGATTCTGAAAGGGTAATATGTATGAGGCCCTCTTCCAACTTTTTTTTTCTTTTTTGTCCCAGTGTCTCATGGAGAACTTAGCCTTGTATTTTACCTAATTTATGACTCAAAGACATTTGCTTTAGAGTTCAAACCTCCCCTGAAGTAATGTTCTCGTGTAAATAACTAATGTGAGTAATGATATTAAACATAACCAGGCAGACTGACTATAAGAACTACCGTGTAGTTAATTTTCTGTGTCAGCAGGGAGGTGGGTCATATATTATATAGCAGTTTTGAAATATGGGTAAAAACATTAAGGAATAGGGCTGTAATGGCAATGCAAATAAACTCTGTTATATAATGACTGGTTGTGCTAATGGCCGTATTGTCTTGCACATTTGGGAATTAGTCAACCGTATGTTTTTGATTACAAATGGTCACACACGAAAATACACATTTGCACACCTTTGAACCAGGCCTTAATAGCAATGATTTAGGTAATGTTAGCCTTTATGCTTTCAGGTCAAAACTTGTGTCAAAGCTTTTTGAGTGTAGGGGTTACCAGAGTGGATCATCCACCTTTATCTCACACTCTGCCTTTGTCACACCAACCCTCTGCATGTCACTACATTCATGAACTTCTTACCTGGTCTTCCAGTAGCTCCATATCAAACATAATTTGTCTTATACAGTCTATTGTCCCTCCTCTGCATATGTCCAAACCACCTTAGCTTTGTCTCTGTAACATTTTCACCAAACCACTCAACATGCAATGTCCCTCATCTCTAACCCTGTCCAGTTTGGTCAGTACCAATGAAAACCACCTCCAGCTCTGTCACAGTCTCCAAAACCAAACATCATGGCAAGTCACACTACCTTCTTGTAAAATTGTTTGTTTTACATTTGCAGCACTCCTTCTGCCTCAAACCACCCGACACTGGTCTCCACGAAGGCTGGACCTTTTTTTCACCTCTTGTTCTCTATCCACTGCTCTGAATTGGTTGGTCGAGCCAGATAAACCCATCAACATATCTATGTTTTACCTAGATGGAAAACATAGAACAGCAGACCAGCTCTACACACTCAGCGGGGTCCCGGAGGGTGCATGGGAGTTTGCCCAACAAGTCTACATGTGTTTTGTGGACCTGGAGAAGGCATTCAACCGTGTTCCTCTGGGACTCCTGTGGGGAGTACTCCGGGAGTATGGGGTGCCAGGCCCATTTATACGGGCTGTTAGGTCCCTGTACGACCAGTGCCAGAGCTCGGTCCACATTGCTGGTAGTAAGTCGGACTCGTTTCTGGTGAGACTTGGACTCCGCCAAGGTTGCCCTTTGTCACCGATTCTGTTCATAACTTTTATGGACAGAATTTCTAGGCGCAGCCAAGGTGTTGAGGGGATGCATTTTGGTGACCTTAGGATCACATCTCTGCTTTTTGCAGATGATGTGGTCCTATTGGCTTCATCAGATTGGGATCTCCAGCTCTCACTGGAGCGGTTTGCAGCCGAATTTTAAGTGGCTGTGATGAGGATCAGTGCCTCCAAATCAGAGACCACGGTCTTGGATGGGGAGGAGGTCCTGCCTCAAGTGGAGGAGTCTAAGTATTTTGGGGTATTGTTCACAAATGAGGGAAAATGGAGCGGGAGATCGACAGGTGGATTGGTGTTGCATCTGCAGTGATGCGGGCGCTGTACCGATCCATTGTGGTGAAGTGACGGTCTATGTTCCTACCCTCATCTATGGTCACAAGTTTTGGGTAGTGACCGAAAGAACGAGATCGCAGATACAAGCGGCCAAAAAGAGTTTCCTTCACAGGGTGTCTGGGCTCTCCCTTAGAGATAGGGTGAGAAGCTCAGTCATCCGGGAGGGACTCGGAGTACAGCCACTGCTCCTCCACATGGAGAGGAGCCAGTTGAGGTGGCTCAGGCATCTGGTTAGGATGCCTCCTGGACGCCTCCTTGGTGAGGTGTTCCGGGCACGTCCCACTGGGAGGAGGCCCAGAGAAAGACCCAGGACACACCGGAGGGACTATGTTTCTCGGCTGGCCTGCGAACGCCTTGGGATTCCCCCGGATAAGCTGGCCCAAGTGGCTGGGGAGAGGGAAGTCTGGGTCTCTCTGCTTAGGCTGCTGCCCCCGTGACCTGATCTCCGATAAGTGGCAGAAAACAGACGGACAGACAAATGTTCATTTTTATTTTAATCATCCATCCATCCATCCATCCATCCATCCATCCATCCATCCATCCATCCACCCACCCATCCACCCATCCATCCATCCATCCATCCATCCATCCATCCATCCATCCATCCATCCACCCACCCATTTTCTGTACACACTTCTTCCTTTCAGGGTCACGTGGGTCACTGGTGCCCATATCCAACAGTCACAGTGTGAGGGGCGGGGTACACCCTGGACAGGTCGCAAGTCCATCACAGTATTTTAAACATTTGTTATCTTATTAGAGATGTGCACCCCAGATAATGCTTTTTCACTGCTTTACATGTGATGTTAAACTTCCCATTATTCCATAAGACGTTAGAAAAACATTAGAGAGCACAGTGGAAAAGGAAACCTGAAGATCATTTAACATCTGGTTTGGTTGGTGTCATCCGAGGTCACCGAGTGCGGGAGAGAAAAGGAGCTTTTCCCAGACAATGTGGTAGCAGATTTCCATCAGTAGGCTGGACATCACTGTCAATAACATTTATTTACCTGTGATATTTAAAGAAATAATGCATCCAGACAGAAAATATTAGCTGCCTGTGAACAGCTGCTTTCCAGCCTGTCAAAAATCTAAGCTTGTTTCTATTCAAAAACTGTTTCCAAAGCATTTCTTCACACAAAAAAGGTCCTTCTGTTTTATTAGTTTTCAAAAGTCATTGCAACTGACAATAGGAAAACTCTCCAATACTGCAATACTATGAAACAGTGATAGTTTTTGAAATGTACCATAAAAATTCCAACCATATGCTGCAATGTTTTCACTTCCTATTACTTCAATATCTGTCCTGGACTGGATCAGTGTAGTTTTCGTTTTTTTTTCTTTCTGAATTTCAGGTACTACTCAGATTTGTGTGCACTTAAAAGTGAAGTAGTCCTACCAAGGGTATCACAGGGCTCATTTTTCCAAGAGCAGATGTCAAGTCCTGTGAGGAGGATGGCATGGTCATGGTGCCGGCCCTCTCTGCCCCCCAGAGTTGACTGCCAGCGGCAGAAGCTGTTCAGCGTGTGATCAGCGTGGTGGTTGATCACCAAACCATCCTGTGAGGTAAAACAGAGGCAGACAGAGTAACAATGTTGTCTCTTAGGACTAAGGCTACCAGATTTTTGAGCACATTTTTTAAATCTTTGTTTGAGCCAACGTTTTCAAGAAAAAGCTTTTTTTCTCTTTTGCTACACAAAACAAGATATAGTTATCCCTCGCTTTGATTCATCAGTTCAGCTTGCCTGTCTACTGTTTGGCATTGTTTTTGCTAAAATCGCACATCACATGTAAATGTGTTTTTTTGTATGTAATATTGGTATACAACCCTGAGCACAAGATAAGAACATTAAAAATATTTATTTGTTATTGTGGGAAAAGATAGTGATGTATAGGTGTCAAAGAGAGCAAAAACATTAATGAGGACTTAATAAAAGTAAACATTTGAAAATGTCCAAACCTTTGTCAAGAGTATTTTTGATAGCTTCCCACTTGCTTTTATGGTTTGCGTTGTTTTTTTTCTTTCAAATTACTGCAGTCCGAAAAAAATATAAAGTTCTTCTGATTTTTATCAGCCCACAAATGCGGTCCACATAAACCAAAAATGTAGGCTGCATTTGAGTAGCCTGTGCAGCCGACAGTATTCCAGGAGTCATTGCAAACTAAACAGGAAAAAAAATAGCAGTTTGGAAATTCATCGTGGACCAAAAAAAAGTTTTTAAATGTAAATTTAGCTAATTAAATTTTAGCTGCAATAAGATGTTAAATAAAATGCTATTACAAGTACTGATACTGGCGCTAAACCCAAATTTAAATTTTTTGTAATTATTTACATTTAATGTTTTTAATAATTTGTAAAATTTTATGAAGGCATACCTCCCATGAAAAGATGTGAAGACATGTTCTAACGCATTTTAAGTCTATAGGTATGTGATATAAAATATAAAACATCCGTGGTAATGCAAACATACATCATACAAAGATTAAACTGTCTCTTTTCCAGAGATGTGATGTTTGCGAACAATCCAAATCTTTTGAACAACTCCAACCAATGATAGGAACCAAATTGAAAACAGGAAAGAGCCTTTCATAGTATGTTTTTTTACTCCTTGTAATACCTTAATATTTTCTCCTTAACCACTTTTCCTGACAAATAGGCAGAGTGGTAGAGTACAGCAGCTCAGAGGGAAAAGGGGAAAGGTCTGCTTAACAATACACATGGTTCTGCCCACATGACCCAATGACGTCATCACATATGGTGTTTGTAGCGACGTTTCTCTCTATGTGATGACAACTCATTCAAAATTGAATGGATCTTTTGAACAACTCTGAAACAAACAGATAGTAAAAATTCGGATCCCCTCAAAGAGCCATTCATCCCAACTTTACTCATTTCACAGCCATTTTATGCTGCCTAGCTGGACTGTGAAGGATGTGGCTTCTGTGGGCTGCAGTCTACGTGGACTGCAACCCCTGAATTGAGACACAGCCATATTGTTGTTGTAAGGAAGATGATTTTGTTGTGAACCTATGAGGATTTGACCTGACATCTTGATGCTCACCTGCTCTTCATCCAAAAGGACAAGACCCACTATGACGATGTTGATGTTTCCTCCTATTGTACCATCTTTGAACAGACTGGAAACCTACAAAGAAAACACAAAGATTCAATACCACTGATGCGACTTTTACATACTTTTTATTTACATACAGCATTTGATGTTTGTGCCATTCCACAATATATATATATATATATATATATATATATATACACACACCTGGACAGTTTTATAGAAATAACTCACAAAGCTCTTTTGATGGTATTACTAAGGCCTGACAACCACAACTGCTGTTTCCAATTCAGCTTCTTGTACCGACATCTGATAGGTCATAACAGTTTATGTTCTCAGAAATGACTTATAATCTTTTGTTCATGTTTGCTATCTCTCCGTCTCTCGGGCCTTGTGAACACATCAGATGCCACTCACAGAACATTTTTTCTTCCTTTTATACTCTCATTCATTCCTTATGTTCCTTATGTTTGGTCTTACTTTGCGTCGACACACGTAAAAATACACGGCTGCTAAAGAAAAAAAAGTTCCGAGGTCAAAGAAGGAATCAAAGCTTTGTGTTTTAAGTTAAATGCCCGATGTTTGACAGAGTGTCAGATTTGCACACCCTGCTCTGATCCAAAGAGTTCCAGTGAATCACTGTGTTTTCACTGCCACATGGAGGAAGCGGTTCCCATGGAGCTTTAGTGTGTTGGAGTACACAACATATATTATGTATTTTTTTTTAATTAGTAACTACCAAGTGTCCTTTTCTAAATGTCTTTTCTCTCCGCCTCAGGGAAAACATAAACCCAAATCTCAAAAAAAAAAAAAAACCCCTTCTGCAGAGCTGGCAGGTGGTGTTAAGGATTTTCGTTGCTTCTTTTCTGTGAAACCCCACATTGTATTAACCCCTCAGTATTGAGCTGAGACATTTCCAACTGGGTTTCTCACTAGAAGGCCGTATGTTTTCAAAATAGACAGATTATCTTTGGATTTGTCTGTCAGTCATGAAGTAGCCGAACGAGCGTGACAGAATTTGCTCGCAGATCATCTGAGAGGTGCAGGAGGGACACTGAATGCCTTAGCCATGATCTCACTCACATATCACTTTCATGTTTGCAGACATGCTCTTTCTAATCACTAACCGTGTTTTTTAGACTTTATCTTAAAAGACATGAATATCAGCTTACAAAAGTCTGGGCTAAAGCACAGCTTAAATAAACTGCAGCGGATGTTACATTCTGTATAACGACACATAAAAGCAGTCTTGAAATAACAGGTCTTAATAAAAGAAAACAAACCACTGCCAGCTCACTATTCCATTTGTAAAACACTGAAAATTTATATAAATTTTGAATTTTATATCAGCATCTAAACTGTCCAATTTAACAATTGCTGGCAATTACACAATTATCCTACTTATACTTAGATTATTGACCTCTTTGATAGATTAATTTTTATTTTAATGAATAATTGTATTCATTTTTGTAATTAAAGTTTTATGATCCTCACAAGCCATACCTTGATTTTCTTGGCAACACCTAGGGCTTTGAATAATTTGGGTAATTGTTGCAAACTTATAACATTCAAAAGCAACAAAACATTCCTCTCTGTTCCAGTAAATAATAGTTAAAATTTTAAATTTAACTTGATCAGAGTATATTTATCCAATAGTCTGGTCAAATCATAAAAATCAAATGTGAGCCAAAAACCTTATCCCACCTCTCAGTGACCACTGAATGAAAAAAGTGAATAAAGAAAGTGAATGGATGCTTGTTCCTAGGTGTAAATAAGAACAAATGTCTGCCTTGTTTGTCTCTGTGCGTCCTTGTGATGAACAGGTGATGTCACAGATGTTAGGGTTAGGTTCTGGCTGTGGACCCTTATATGTTACAAAATATGTAGCATTTTTTTTCTCACATTCAATATTACAACATTTGTTTAACATATTTATTTAACTAATGTGTTTGTGTAAAAATGATGATACAAATTAGTTAACAGTATTATAATTGACAACCAAATAGACCCTCCCTGGTTCTTTAAAGGCCCACAGCTGATTTAGATGTCAATGACTGAAATGCTAAAACACACGGTGAGTGCTATGAGTGCCAAGATGACAGAAAATATAGATTTATTGCACCTGATGTGATCACCGCTATATTCAATCTCAGCATCACAAGTCTCTTAATATTAAGTAGCCATTATTTATAGTCTATCAACTGTTCAGCTGTCTGCAGAGACTAGGTTCAGACACTTGAGAAAATACACAGATAATCTAGCCAGTTGGTAGCAGCCCCCCCCACCACACACACACACACACACACACACACACCAGCTGGTATCATATTTATTTCTCTCACCATGTTGAGAACAGTTAGGACATATGTGGTGATGTTCTCATGGCCGTGGTTGTCCATCATCTTTCTGTCCACCACCACTAGTGTCTCCACATTGAGCTTCTGACTGTGTTGATTCTTCATCAGCAAGGCCCGTTTGTTCCTGGGCAGAACCTTGTACTCGTCTGGAAGAATGAAAACATCCTCCTCTGGAGGTTTGGGCATATCTGTCAAAATAGATTCAAACAGACAGGAGGAGGTGGAACAAATAAAGTGATTATTACAATTGTTTTAACTGTTTGCTGGGGGTGAAGCTTATTTAGATGTTAAAGACACAATGTGCTTTCAAACATGCTTTAGAATTAAGCTAATTTCAGTGACTGATGACAGAAAGACACAGTAGTTTATTTGACAAACTATATTTTCCATGTTTGATCGTGTCCACTGTAATGCAGATTTACAACTATGAGCCAAAATGCTACCAGTTTTTCAGGAATAATCAAAATAAACGAAACCACAATATGTACTGGGGATTAACAAAGAGATGTCACAAAATCATGAGATAAATAAGAAGTTAGTAAAGTAACAACAAATTTATTCTTTTTCTAGAATAATGCAAGGTAAAATAATGAAGACAGGTCTACAGTATTTATTTATCCATCAATCAATCCTTTGTTTTATTATAAATGCAAGCTTTTTCAGCTAAATTAATTTTGAATAGTGTAGATTTTGGTAGAAGATTATACAAGTATTTTATAGAAAAAGCTGCACAATAAACAATTTGCAACATTTGTAGCAAGTTATTACACATTACATGCGTAGATTTAACATTTACATTACAGACCAAGCACTGATATTTTCTTTGAAATTTGCATTTGTGAAAATGAAAGCACTTTTCTCAAATCTATACTTGTACTGACGAGTCAACTCCATATCTGTCATTTAAAAGACACAGTAGAGATCCAATGTGGTCCTGACTTTACTGCTTCAAGTCATAAATTCTGTGGGTCCAGCTTATCTAAACCTTCACCTTTTAATACCCAACTGAGATGAACTGCAAAGAATGACCTCAGTTTGCTTACACAGGCAGAAAGCAGGTGATCAGTGCCCAGCACAGGTGTTCACTGATGTCAGCTAATGGATATGTAAACAGCACAGGCAGCTGGGGTTCTGCAGGGTTAGAGCAGTACCAGTGCAGTCCCTGAACAAGCAGATTTGACAGATCCTGTAGTAACTTCTTATAAACAAGGACTGAACAGAGGAAAGTGAATTTAAATAATTACCTACCTAACCCACACATTATTCCACTAATAAAGTCAAACGATTTGTAAACTGAGACTGAAAATTTTTGGTCAACATAAAAAAAATATGGCAAACGGCTCTGAGGTGAAAACAGGTTGATCATATGCTCAAACTTTCTCAGTATTTGGGTCTTTAGGTTCCTCACATCATACAGTAAATGAAACAATTTCTGATACAATTTTACATTGATGTTTTTTTCTCTTTATCTGAAAAAGGGATAATAATGCATTGATGCATGTTAACTAATATTACGTTCACCCTGCAGGACTTCATAATCAATTCCATTTTTTTAACCATATCAGATTTTTTTCGCATTTCGTTCAGATTGTCATTTACAGTAAATCAGACCATCATCAGACTTCAGTGAGAACAGCTTATGAATCTGACTACAATGTACAGAAAGTAGAGACAAACTCAAGTATCAATCCCATCACGTTAGTAGCAATATGGTCCAACAACATTGGCGTAACACTGTTAGCATCATAAGTTGGTCATCTAGAACATGACAAATCCTGAAAGTTTAAAAAAGACAAATCAACTGAACTTCTGTTATGTGCTAAACGTGTAGTTCAAACTGCATGGTGTTTGTATCAATAATAATATCAGGACCAATCCTCAAACTCAATGACACAAAAGTTGGATGAAATGTGATCTGACCGTTCAGTCTGCAGCATCAACATTAAATATCTATCTGATTTATTACACATATGAAAAAGACTTGGGTCAACTTTGAAAAAAAAAAAAGGATTTGTCGCATTCAGACTTCCATAAAAAGTCCAACCTGAGTCACAAATGGGCAAAAAAAATCAGATTTGCCTGCAGTGTGAACATAGCTATTAATTTTGCTACCATTATCACAATTTATACATTTGTCTGAACTAAACAAATACAAAGTGTTTTAAATGTTTGCTGAACTCTTATAATGTTTTTTATCATTCTAACTTGGCAATAAAATCCTGCAAAAAAAAATAAATAAAATAAATAAACTAGTTATTGTAAATTTTCCTTTACATCCTTTTAAGTTCGATTGCTAAGAAAGTTCAACAGAAATGTTAATAAATGTATTTGCCATGTCATGTGTGATTTACCCTTGTAAATATAGTTGTAAGTGATGTGATAATTCAACACACATGGCTTAAATGTAAACCAGTGAATTGCTTATTATTAAAAAAATATGACAATAAAGGAATTTGAGTGGAAATAATGTTACTTAAACTTAACTTATTTAGAAAATTAAAAAGAGCATAAAAAATGAAACTCACTTTATAATCTAAATTTGTTAGTAAATGTCTCTTTGGTGAGAAAAAATAATCTATGTGACTAATTCTACCCTTATAATAACATGCAGCTACATCATCAGAGCAGAAAAGGCTAATGCTGTGTTTTTTTACAGTACCTCTTTCCAAGACCTCTGTTTGAATGTTTACTTAACTTGTGGATAGGAAACAATTACAGAAATGTTTCATGCATCCAGACATAATGAGGAGTGTGAGTGTGCTGGTGGGGATTAAAATGAGAAATTGCCCTTACATACATTTCTTCCTTCTTCCACAGAAGTGTTGCCTTTGCCTTTCCCCATGCCTGTAACCGCTGTGGTGATGGTCTCTCCCATGATGCTTTTGTGGGTCCATGTGGTCTGAGCTGTTTCTGCTGTCATGGTAATAAATACTTTGTTGTTTTTGCCTGTATTGATCTTTGTTATCTACTCTGTAGATGGGATCTGTGTTTGAATGGAAACGTCTGTGAGTAACTGTGGATCTCTTCTGAAGCAGCCGAGGCTCAAGATGTCTTCCCTTTGTCCAGGCGTCTCCGATGCTTTTGTAGAGAATATGTGGTTGGTGACTGTCAGGAGCGGTGAAGTTCTCCTTCTGTGCAAGGCTCCGTGACACTGGTCTCAGGAAGAAGTCTGCGTCCGGTGTTCGAATCAAACCTGACTAGAGGCACAACAAAATGTCAAATTAGTCTAAGTGATTTTGAGTTTGGGTTTATATGTGAGCATGAGCTAACATGTTTAATCCAACACAGAAAATCTTAAAAATACCTGACTTGAAAACAAGATTTTGGATTTTTGAGGCGCTGAGGAAACAGTTCATATCTTATCTGATGCAGCTTTTGGAATTATGTCAATCCCAGACAAAAAAAAAAAAAAAGAGAGCAGAATTCTGACAGAATAAATAAATCAAGGTCAAATTCAACTGCTGCAGTCTTAAAACATCACTAATGTCAAAAGTTTCCCACCAGTTCATCTGGGCGGCTGTGGTTCAGTATTAGGGCAGCTGACTCTGAACCAGAGAGTCATAGGTTCAATTCCCTGCCATGTCCACATGTCGTAAAGTCCTTTAGCAAGACATATAATCCCCAGGCTCTTACATAGCTGCCCACTGCTCCACTTGGGTGTATCTCACATGTGATGGGTCAATGCAGTGCACAAATTCCATCATTGTATAGGACCATGCACTGATGAAAATATGTAGCTCTTTATTAAGAATTTTTTATATAGTTGTCAATTTATCAATACTTGTGTTTGTTACACAAAATTTTAGTTATTTGCGCAGGAAGATGGTAGCACCAGCAGCTAACTTTAGCACTTCTGGTAGGAATTTCACAATGTTTCTGACAGAACAACTGTGGGATGCAAAACTGACAATGATGATTTTTTTTTCATAATAAAATGTTCAAATGAACTGAATTTTAAATTGTTAAGAGTGAAATTGTTTTGAGACACCAGCAATAACTTCAGTCATGGTGCACTGACTGTAGCTCACCAATTTGGTCAGAATTAAACTTTTTTCCAAACTGAGATTATTCATCTACAGGAGGTAAGGTATTTCACACATCCAGCTGATGTAGTCTCTAAGGCTATGTTCCCGCTGCGGGTCTTTGCTCAGTTCTAAATAAAAACAGAAACAAGTTTTTGGTGTGAACGTTCACATTTTATTTTAAATGTACTACTTGTTAGCATGTTGATTCTGAGGTTGTTGTGCAACCAGAGTCGATTAAATATTTATCTTGCAAGCTTGTTTAGTTTGATGTTTACATCAAACTAAACAAGCTTTTATAATCTGTCTCTGACCTGATGTTCTGGTGCAGCATTTTATTTGTTTTTTTTCTAAAACAGAAGTACTGATCGAGTAACTTACGTATCAATACAGTCCTCGACCGACATTGGACGTCACTATCATATTCCTACAAATTCTCATCCAGGACATGGAAAATTAATTGAACAAAGACAAAAAAACAACTTGACTTGTGTTTTTTTAGGTGAAGACGTAAGACTGAACATAAACTAAGAGACTGCACTCACATACTGCCAACACCTCCAAACCTGCTTCAGTTATTTGTTGAGCGTCTTGCCTCTGTCAGCAATTAGGCAGGACCTGACCTTTGGTCACCACTAACCTGAACTCACTAAACATCTGTGCGGCTCAATTATGAACCATGTTTCTTCACCTTTAACATCTGCTCTGCTGTTTAGGGTCAGCTGGCAGCTAAATTTAACTAGGACTTGTTCTTACAGATGGTTTTAAGAGAGCTACTCTTATAAATACTAACATTAGCAAATAAATTCCTAAATAATTATTAGAGTTAGAGTTGGGGTTAAAAACTACAGTCAGATAGTGATGCATGGCTCTGTGGACCTTTTATTTATTGGGGCTATGTAAAAACTGAAAAGAGAATCATCCCTAAATATTCTTAAACTAATTTCTGCTGATTCTGTCTGTTTCCATTTATTTCTGTCTTTGTGGTCAAATTTGATAAAAACATCACATCCACGAGAAGTTTTTGCTTGTTTTCTGCCTCTTCTCTGTCCCTTTTAGTCCATCTAAACATGCACCACATCTGTGCTGACAGTCAGCGTGGATGGTTCTGACTTTCACCACACTTGGTTATTTCTGTGGTTTTTGAAAATCTCTTTAATTGATTGCAGTCATTCATTTTTTCTGTGAGGGGAGTGTGAGGTCTCTTGCTGCACCATCCAAAAACATATTGAAACAGACAGTCCGGATATGACTGACCCAGAGTGTGCAGATCGTGCGTGTGTTTGTGTGTGTGTTTGACAGCCATAGGATTGTTAAACATTTATTATGTTATTATGTGTGGAGAAAAGCAATCTTGAAGTAATTAAGGTTAAAAATCAGCAACCAAATATCTACTGGTGGGAATATGAGCAAACATATGCATATCTGTGTCCCTTTAAGAGTAAACCTCAAGATTTGCAGATGCAAAACTTAAGTGTTGATGATGGTGTAGAATGGGTTTGATAAAAATGGCTATTCCTCTTAAAACTCTGGCATGAAAGCTCTTGAGTAACATGCATTTCTTCAAGGAATACTAGACTTTTATTACTCTAATGTTACTATAATATTAATTATAAAACTTTGCGCTGAGCAGATCAAAGACAAACCTGCACATATGAGTCTAATTCCTAGCTTATGAAGTTCTTGGTCTGACAGGAATGAATGCTTCAACTCTATCTGTTCATTTTCGTGTTCTTACCACACACCGGCTGATGTTTACAGGTGTTGCTTTGTCAGATAATGATCATTTACCAGCACACAGTATCTGTGGTGTCAGACAAAAGATCCCCACAGTGACATCAAAACATACACACTTGTACTCAAACATTTACCAGAATAATTACAGTCCTTTAGGATAAAATCACACAAATAATATGTGTGGATGGAAGCATCAGAATGACTTCTTTATGAATGTCCTATTGAACAGTGCCTCAGAAAAGTATTCCTCTCTTTGGCATATTTCCTATTATATGTATTAGTATAAAAATAATAATTTCTGTGACGTTTGATCTCCTAGCAAGCCTATATTCTACAACACCCTCCAAAATGAACCCTTATTCGGTGCCACCTTTTTCAGCAGTACAACTTTTTAACCCTCTGAGTAACATCTCTGGTCTAATTTTGTGCATTTCACACACAAACACACAGGTTTTTTTATATCTATATATATCCCTGGGGGAATGCGGATTGACTTCCATTCATTTTCTGATAATTTTATAGCCTAACCCTGACCATATGAAATAAACCTCATAAACCTCACAGACACCTGACCCTAAAGCTAACCTAAACTCAAATCACACCTTAGTCCTAAACCAAAGCCCACACCCAATATTAGCATCTGTACAGTCTCCAAAATGCACATTCGGTCCCCATGAGGCTGCAGTTTTCTGGAAAATGATTTCCATGATGTAGCAAAAACATTCACACACACACACAAACCCCTCTCTCGTTACCTAAAGTTAAATCAGACCCCAAATTTTCAGTCTAATTAAAGTAAAAGCTTTGAACTTGCTATTTCAAGAAATTTAAATTGTCCAGAATGCCCCTTAAACTGTTTTATCTGTTGGGACTGCCTACTCTCTGTAAAACAGAGAAATTGCCTGAAAAGAGTGGTAATAAAGTGTGTTTATAAATGCTGGAGAATCATTCCAGGGCTTTAGTAACTTGTACAGGGCCAGATCGTTGAAAAGATCCAGATCCACCTTTGTTGATTTTAGTCATCATTTCACAAATGAGTTCAATATGCTTCCATCAGGGCAAAGACACACTTTTACCATGGTGTAGAACAAACCAGCTCAAGAAATCCATCATTCCATCTGCTACCAGCCTTTAAATTACTAATATGGAACTATATAGTCTCAGTCCAGGGTCTCTTCAAGAATTTATCTATATTTAAAACGATTCATAATTACTTTGATCATAACTAAGTTTACAAACCTACTGACAAGCATCACTTCAGGATGATGCTGCATGCTTTACTGAGAAGATGATTTTATTTAAATGAGAATTCCAAATAATTGTTTTTTCTTTATTCAAGCAAAGAATGTTTTCCTCTCAGTCATGCTTACATAAAATCCATCCTAAAGGCTTACATTTGTTCTATGAACTGAAACTGTTCTATCTCTGCTGTGGACCTTTGGAGATGTTATAGGTTACCTTTGATCTTTTGCCTCTGATTAATACTTTTGCAGACTACGCCCTGGATAACTGGTCTATCTCATGGCCACAGAGACAAACAAAACAAACAACTATTCACGCACACGCACACACTGACACTTAGGAGCAATTTCGAGTTGCAGATCAACCCAATGCAAATGGTTTTGGACTGGGAGAAAACCAGAGTACCCGAAGAAATACCAAGCCACCATCCTCCACACCAAAAGACTCTCAGACAAGTTTCAAAGTCAGGACCTTTTTTACTGCAAGGCAGCATTGCACATCTGCATTCCTGTGCAGCCCCATCTTCAGATCATTACACTAAAATGACTGCATCCTAGTATCAACTTTTACTTGGAGAGCTCCTTAATTTTCACTGGACTGCTTGCATGATGCCCTTTGAGTACAATAAGTTGAAGACACATGGTGTTGTGGATTACCAAATAATGAGCTCAAATAAGAGGATGAATTAACATTAACACCTTTAACTGTTACTTGCCTACCAGTGGTCATGAAATATTCCACTCAGGGTTGTTACTTTTAATCCAATGTGACAACCAGTGCTCAAATCCACTTGGTATCCCCATAACGCCCCACAGATGTACTGTCAACATTTGGTTCTAAGTCACAATGAGTTCTGTGACCAGAACAGTGCTGCTGTCAGCTTACAAAACTTCACATGCAATGTATTTATTCAGTCTGGCTGGTTGGTTGGCAAAAAGTTGAGGCTTGGGGATTTTGGAGAAAGAAAGAGTAAAATAATAAAAGACAATGTTCCTTCTGTTTTTCTTTTTGTCACACAGTGTTCTGTTTGGTGAGCTCATATTGGCAGTAAACCCAGATGGAACAGACAAAAAAAGAGGAAATCCATAATAGCACAAGACAGCCATGGGCCTCACACCTGCAGCCTGAGGGTGAAAATATTTAGTTATAAGTTGTCATAACAACTGTCATTTTGTGATATATATTCAAGAGTAATT